AACCTTTTCTCCCTCCATAAAAATTTTTGTTTCCAATTGTCATCAGCAAATCCCTTTGTAAAAATTTTAAGCATCATCAAACCTGCTGGAACTACGAGATCTTCGCGATGCATTATAACTCCTGGGTGGTGTTCTGGATTTTTTATCCTTCTTTCTTTTTTCATCTATCTCTTTGGATCTGTCTTTTTCTCGTTCCTTTTCTTTGTCCTGTTCCTTTTCCTTCTCTTTGTCTCGATCCTTTTCATGCTCTTTTTCCCGTTCTCTCTCTCTGTCCTTTTCCTTGTCTTTTTCCCGGTCCTTTTCCCGTTCCTTGTCCCGGTCTTTATCTTTGTTTTTACCCCGTTCCTTTTCTTTTTCACGTTCCTTTTCCCTCTCTCTCTCTTTTTCCCTGTCTTTCTCTTTCACTCTTTCCTTTTCCTTGATCTTTTCTCGAGTGTCTTTTCTCTTGTCCCTTTAAAAACAAAAATAAATAAATTCGTAACTAAAATAATTCTACCACCTCCAAAAAGACCTCTCTCTCTCTTCAACAATTACCAACACAAGACAATTTATAGCAGCTACAGACATTTACATATACATTTTTATGAAACTCAGGTGTACAAGAAGCTGCTAAACAAAGCTATTAATATTATACAAGCTGAAGTGAGTAGTTTGGAAACCTCATGAGTCACACTGACATCAGATTCAAATCAATAGTAATCAATATTAATACTAGATTACTAAAACAATAAAAAAGGTTTCATTTCTCTCATTAAAAACCTAAACTACAACAGATTTTTAACAAATGAAGCCAATTAAAATATTACCCCTGAACACTAATAGAACTGAGGAAAAAAAAAATTATTGTTAATTTCTCTAAAACTCACCGTGAACGCGAACGACTCCTTGACTTCCGTCTCTCCCTTGATTTAGAGCGTTTTTTATGTGGGCTCTTAGATCTTCGTCTGTCTTTCTGTCTTGAACGTGATCTATTATGGGATCTACTTCTAAAGAAAAACAAATTGTTAGAATATCAAAACTTATTCTTAGAATTTCAACTTTTAAGAATTTACGATCCTTCAAACAAGAAAACTTAAAATCTGTCCTAACAGTATTTGACAATATTTTTTAACTTTCTCTTAAATAATACTTTAGTTACATAATCCCAACGTTTATTGGAAACTTTCCTGGATATTTCACTGTCTGGAACAGAGACAGAAACAAAGAATTTAACAGTTATTTCGTGTAGTTTCAGATGTGGCTTTTGCTAGTCATTTTGTGCCTCCAATCAGTATAGAAGATTTTTCCCTGTTGACTTGCATGTAATCTCGTCATAACACATCATGATAGGGAGTAGTGGTTACATGGTTCAGTAGTTCCTGTGAATGTGTACTGTTTGTCAACAAACAAAAAGAATATGTAAGGAAGCACAGTCCTAATGACAGCGCTACTGTGACAGGAAAATAAAAATCATTAATCATAAGTTAAAACTAGATATAATCAAATATTGGATTTACAATGCCTTGATTTAACTATATAAAGTTAAAAAATTATGTGTAACTATAATCACAGCTACCGGTTGAGTATCCTTTATGTGAAATGCTTGGAACCAAAAGTATTTTGAATTTCACATTTTGGGAGATTTTGGAATATCTGCATTATATACATACACACATGTATAAAACTGGTTGAGCATCCCAAACACACAACTGAAAAATCCAAAATGCTCCAGTAAGCATTTTTTTGAGCATCACGAAAGCGTTCAAAAAGTTTTGGATCTTGAAGCCTTTTGGATTTCAGATTTTCAAATTTGTGAGTCTCAACCTGTATGAAAAGAAACCTTTAACTGCAGGAAACGTTCAATTGCAGGGAAGGTAACTGTTATTTTAATTTTGACTAGGTCCCCTTTCTCACTGAAAAAGTGTTTTGAGAATTTGATTTTTTTCATAATGAGGTATCCTAACTACTTACTAAAATGTTAACAAAACAGACGCACACAAC